AATGCTTCTGATGCATCCTTTTCAGGTTCCGTGGTTGCATGCTCCTCTGCCTTCGTGTATCACAACCCAACACCAACCAACCAAAAACCGATCGATTCCGTCGTGGCGGCCCCGGGGAAAAGCCCCGGCCCTTGCATGACCCGACCACCGACCACCTGAACCAATTCCGCCAAAGGGCTCAATGATGAAGATCCCACAGTCGAAACCTCGGCGCCACCGAGTCGCCGTTCGGTCCCAGATCTTGGATATCGGACCAAGGCAGGGCCGAGATTCTTGGATAAATAGATGATATAGATGATAACAGGACTCGGCTGTTCGATTCACATCGATTCATCCGCCCTGATGTTCATGAACAGGTCTCCGGCTCATCACTCGCACCAGGCTACCCCACCATTCGCTTGCTTAGGCACCTCCGCAGCAATGGCCTGCATCCAGGAGAGTGATGTGTCCGCCAACCGATAGCCCCTGGGTGAAGTGAGTGCATCGTTTCAACGTGGGTCACCACGGAAAACTTAGGAAATTTGGGTAGCCCCGGGAGATTAGTGGACTGGCCTACGGCCATCAAGCAAGAAGAGGACATTTAAAGGCCATCCTAGCTCAAACAAAGCTCTTACTCTTGACCCCAAAATGGTTGCCCAACCTCAGACAACTTCCCCCAAACTTTGGGATCCCACAAACTACGAACCCGGCGCCTTCAAGTTGATCAACTCATTGACCTCGTGGCCGTTCGCTAATGGCTGTGGCGGTGCTCACTTCACAGCGGCTCGGCTGGGAGGTGTTGTTCTTGGGCCAAGCTATTCGAACCGTCGTTCGCAAACCAAGCTACTTGAAAGTCTTCAGTGGTTGCCAAGGGACCTATCCTGCCCTTCAATAACAACCAGCTGAAGAGTCACGAGGAAAACATGAATTCTACGATATTCTACAATTATGGCGGCCGCATCAGAAGGGCGATGCCTCTTCATGTCCTAACGCACCCTAATGGCCATGCCACCCGAGCCTTATCAGGCTCCTCAGGCGTTGCCTAAGCGCAGGATTCTCAGCCAAAGCAGCCAGGCAAACTCCCAAATGTCCAATAAAACATTGCAATTGACATGCTTTAACCAGAGAATTATGCTGTGGATTGGTATTATCATTATCTGTCAAAACAGCAACTCTGGCTCCCTCCAAGGGCCTTGAGCCTTTCGATCAAACTGAGCCCCAAGCGCTCGGATGACGCTCGCACCATTCCTTCCAGAGGTACCCTGGCACTCGTTGGGTTCGACGCAGTCCAACTGGAGGAGCCAAACAGGTCTCCAGTTGGATGTGCAACTTGAATCTTCCACACGCAGAAAATGTGCGGGATCTCCACAAGTCTCTTTTGAGTCCGCGCCTCCTCCCTTAGCAACCCGGACCCTCGCAAAGGGTGTGAATCGGTTCCTTCTTGGATTCTTTGGCTTGTCAACGTGTCGTTGGAGGCTGACAGCAATTCAAGCTGCGGCATTCACCAATCTAGCACTTAGCTTTCACAGTTCTTGTCCCGTGTTCAGAATCGCAGTGGTTGGCATCCAGCCAGACCAAAATCAGAATATTGGTCATCACTTCGCTTTGTTCAGCCACGTGGGGGTCGCGCGAACTATCAGCTCCGGCCTCGGAGGAAGGCCACGGCACGGTGCTTCAAAAGCGGCTCTTGCGCTGAGTCAAGGCAGACGATCCGGGGCGTCTGAAGTGGCGCGGATGCTTTGAACAAAGATGGGAGGAGCAGAGAGTTTGAAGAGACACTGCTTCTAAAGGTCCCTTTCAATCTTTGTGCAAAAATGTGCAAACCAACTTTCCTCGAGACTCCTAGTAGGAAGAGGTTGTGTAATCAAGTCGCGGCTGCAAGATACATTATGGAGGTCTGCAGTACCCGCATGACGCTTGGAATCTCCATCGTCGTCAGCGCTCCCGTTTCACTGCTCAATCCCTAGCAGTAGCAGAAGGCAGGTGCCTTCCCCAGCGGAAAGCTTGCACCATCAGCTTCGGGCTCTATGGCATACCGTGCATGGCACACCACTGCCAGCCTGCCCGCGCAGGACGCGAAAATCTTGAGTGACACGGACGACTGAACCAAGGGCACGAGTGATGCGACGGCACCCAGTGCGACCTATGGCCTGTGTAGACCTCTAGTAGAAGGAGACAAGTCTCTGCGGGGTGAGGACAGCTCACAAGACATGTCATGATGATTCTTGGAGGGTGCCTGTTTGGATCTATCCTCCACAAGGAATGCAGGGAAGCAGTGATGGGTCTGTTGATGAAGGTTTCGTTAAACAATCGTCAACTGTGGTTGGGGTTGGGGGCAGCAAATAGTCCAGCGAGCCAAAGTGAGCCCACCCTCTTTTCCATGCATGAGAGCTCTCAGTTATTCAAAGTGTTCTCATTGCGGTCCGTACAAAGAGATGTGTGCAATCACCCTGGTGAGGCTGACTGGCCACATCAGCTATGTCCGAATGCTTGGATGGGGGGCTATGAACCCAAGTGCCTTACTAGTACTAACAAAAAGCTATCTTAAATTAAAATATAATAGCTTTTTGTTACTACTAGTAAGGCACTTGTTACTACTAGCGTGGCACTTGTTACTAGTACGTACTGTAGCTCAGTGCAAAGAAAAGATGCCCCACGGCCACGTGCTTTGCCATTTCGTTGCAGAATGGGTAACACCACCTGACGTTCAGATCGGGACCCAACGAGGCGTTCGAAGCAGATAGAGCATCACCAGGCTCTTCGGTCGCTGTGTCCCCGCGCCACCAGTGAATGTTCTGCTCGTTGATGGGTAAGATCACGAACCTGCAGGCGTTTGCAGGCTCGAAGAGGGAGATGCAGGATACCTTATTTGTGCTAGGCTGCTAGTTCCTTGTTCGCAAACCTGTTTCAGGTCCACTTCTACTACGATATATGATCAATCATAATCATACTCACATATGTATGCCTATATATACACATATATTGATAGTGTATACACATCCCGTCACAAGAGTGAAGAAGAAATGCCATGAACTGCCTGCTTCATACGGAATAGATGGTAAGATTCAGTGGTAAACTCCGACTCACTAACATGGAAGTGGAAACCTCCCTGTTTGGACGAACATAGTTGAACAAAGTCCTTCCGACGCAAGGCCATGACGCCATGCCATCCGCTTCCATGTTGAGGAGGGTCGGGTCTTCCCTCCTCAGTGATGGCCCGCTGCCTTTGCCCCAAAAGGCCATGTGGTAGAGACCTAGGCCATGCAGAGGCCCAGCGACCGTCTGACAGCGTCGCCCAAAGAAGTTGCCAAACCCATTGGACCTGCTACACTATAGGGTGAGCTTCCAAGAAAGTCCATGGGTCAAAGGGGCCACAAGACCTTTTCGAAAAGGTCCAGCCGGTTGTGTTAAGCTCCGTGGTCTGCTTGAGAACAACCTCACAAATCCTGCAGCCTCGGCACCTTCAACGTCCACATCACGCTACAAGACCGACTGACTCAAGTTCTACACAGCTTAAACCCCGAAACACCCGTGCCGTCATGCCGCCGACTTCCGCATGTTTGCCCACTAGTGTCCACACGGGTCGCCAACAAATCAAAAAGGGCCATATCCAAGTCCAAGAGCTGGCGTTCGCTTGTAAGATACATACTTACAAGATCGTTCAAAGACACTCTTTCAAAGGGATCCAAAAAGCATGTTCATCTTGAATCGATTTGGAAACCACCTCGAGCGTGTTCTTCCTGGCGGTCCCAGGCGGCCCGGCCGTGTCCACCTCCGGACGTTCTGCCAGCCGGCTTCTCCGTTCTCCTTTCTCAGCCACGTGCCACGGTTTGGAGCTGCATTTAGGGGGGCAAAAGAGTTGCTGAGCAGCTTGTGCGAAGCATCGCAACAAAAGAAAAGGTGAAAGAGCATGTGCACCCCTCTGCGATAACGTGAAATGCATGAGTCTACGGTTGCAGTTGCCCTATGTTTGCTGGGTATCCGGAGATAAAAGGACCCTTTGTAAGGCGGTTTTCTCGTCAATGACCTGGCTTCTAAATGTATAGTTTCTAGACTTGTGCGTGTCTCAAGACTGTATAATGAGCCCACAAATATGCCCACAGGGTGTTCACTAGGCATGTCCAAATCTGTCTGCAAGTTGGTTAAGGTCGGATTACTGTAGATGTCATTGTCTCTAGCCACCCCGACACGGGCCAGGTTGCTCGGTTGCGGTGAGAATGCTCATTAACTATCATTGATACTTGAGGTATCACATCCTCAACCGTTGAGGGTCACTTGGGTCACCATGTGTCTTCAAGTTGACCTTGCCAAGGCCTACAGTAGCTGGGCAAGTCACACAGAGCTTAGCCTCAAACAATCATCCACTCAGCCTTCCTGCATCCATCAGCTCCCACATCAACTTCCGCACTCACATGAGTGGTCCTACTCAGTACACTCCACCGCGAACGACAAGGAAAACCACGAACGCACAGCTCCACCGGTGCCCTGGACCCGCTCCACGCCACCCGCCGTGAGCTTCTGAAAGAAAAAGGTGCTGGCGACGTAAAGATCACCTGCCACGACTCACTCGTCGGTGAGGTGCTCAGCTGGTGGAGTCGATCTGCTTCACCGGTCGTCTTTTCATGGGATCTACCAAGACTGTTTGCACAAATCCACCACAGTGGAGAACGGAGGAAGCAAAAACCCTTTGTATGTTCGTGTGTTCTTTTCTTGGCCCGCTCTTACTTAATTAAGTTTGGCACCTACTTAATTAAGGAGTAAGCTCCTAGCTACTTAAGCTTCTAGTAACTGGATGCAGGATAGCTGACGCTTGCATTAATGACTTGGTTTCAAGATGTTTAGGGAAACTTAAGAAACTGGGATGGGAGAAAAATCAAACGGTAGAAAAACCAAACACCTCAGTAGAAACTAGAGACACATTCACTTCACAACTGTTCAACCACGCATTTCACCTGCGAGCTCAGTGATCATCGTCTCAAAGTATCACAAATATTCTAATTCCTCAAGCCCACTGCTGTCGCCACCCGCCTCCGGATTGCCCCATGCCACAACACGTCCATTCCGAAGGATGGCTGCGAATGCAGCTGCAGAAGAATGAAGCTTCTGCACACCCGAGCTCAGCTGGTCTTGCACCTCACCGGTGTCACCACCGCCGTTGGGAGCGCCCCATGCGACCACTCGTCCATCACTCCGCAGGGCACTGAAGGCGCTGTCGTTGGCCGCGATCTGCACCACATCGTGGAGCTGCTTTCGCACGTCATGACTGTCACCACCGCAGAGTTGATCGCCCCACGTGACAATGGTGCCATTTCCCAAAAGTGCAGTGAAGGCATGCTTGGTGGCAAAGATGGTTTCCACGTTCTTCAACCTTTTCTTCACACTACTGCTGTCGCCACCAGCATTTGGATCACCCCAGGTCACCACGCTTTTGTCTTGACAAATTGCTGCGAAGGCCATGGAGGTGGAAAAAATCTCTTGCACCTGTTCAAGACTCTCCTGGACATCACTGCTATCACCACCACTTGACCGAGAACCCCAGGTAACAACACTTCCATCAAGAAGAAGTGCCGCGAAGGCAGTCCTGGCGGAATAAATCCTCTTCACGTTCTTGAGACGGTCCTGGACCACACTGCTGTCCCCACCAAGAACTGAAGTGCCCCATGAAACAACTTCTCCATCACCCCTCAAAGCAGCAAATGCTGACTCTGCAGCACAAATCTCCTGCACATTATGCAAACGATCCTGCACGTGATCGTTAGAACCACCGTGTGGCCAACTGCCCCAGGTAACAACTGTTCCATCGCCACGAAGCGCTGCGAATGCGGCGTCATTGGCATAGATCTTCTGCACATGTTGGAGCTGATCAACTTCCGTTCGGTCACCCCCGAAGTGCGGATCGCCCCAAGTCACAATGGTTCCATCAGCCAGCAGGGCAGCAAAAGCCCCTTTCGTGGCGGCAACACTCCGCACAGCTCGCAGTTCACGGCCAACCGCCGAGCAGTCGCCACCCGCACCCTCATCGCCCCATGTGACCACCGTGCCATCAGCACAAATGGCTGCAAAAGCACGGCAAGTCGCTTGCACCTCTTGCACCTGGGAAAAAAGAAATCCCAACACCTAAAAACGATCCGAAACACTAAATGGCAAAGGAGTCGTTGCGCAGTTTGTTCTTCTCTGCGCGAATCAAGTGGCTTTACAGAGAAATGGCCTCCGCCCCAACCCCTTTGGTCTTTCGCCACACCTCTCCAAGCCTTCTCCGGATTGTGCTGTGTCTGTGGCCCCCACACCACCGATCACCCCATGCCACCACGCCAGAGCCGCGGCACCAGAGGGCGAAGGCCCGGTCGGTGGCGGCCACTTCCACGGGTTGCACCAGGGCAGTCAGATGCTCCTCGGTGCCAAAGGGGCCGAAGGGGTTCGGCGGGCGGAGGAGGCGCCGCGTTGAAACGGAGTTCGGTGGAGTTCGTGTGGGCAAAGGTTGAAGGTTTTGGAAGTGGAAAGGACGTTCGTAGTGGAGACGGGACGAAGCTGACACATGAGGCTTTTGGAGGGCCCTCAAAAAGGAAGAAGGCGATGGGAGGACCAACACTCATCGGAAACCGACACGGAGAAGTAGGGGTCCCCCATAGAAACTTTCAGTAGAAAAGAATACCAGTTGCTGGTCTGGTTGGGTCAAGGAACGTTCCACTGTTCCGCTGCACACATTGCTATACTACTTGGTTAGAGCCAGTTGCCAAAAAGCACATGGTCATGACTCATGACTGGGACAAATGTGTCACACCAAGGATGCTCCATGTTTTGCACACGCTCTCTATGTCAAAACAATCCTCAACTTCCCTGGCTCCCAATGCAGCATAGCATAGCCCTCCCACCACCCACACCCTGATCCGGCCTAGTGACTCCGTCTTGGATTCCAAGCTCTTCCAAAGTTTCGGTCAATTTCAAAAGTCGACCGTCAGCACTGATCAGTCGCAGAAAGTGCTGACCAATGGACTTCTGAACCGCCAGCTTCAGGTCCAGAACCCTCAGTGTGGGCGATGTTGTTGTAACCTGCTTTCGCTTAAACGTGCGGAACTGGGTAGGGGGGAGGGGTGAAACTACCAGTGACTAGTTATGCCACACTTATTGCTAAACTTGTTACTTACCTAGAAACACAAAATACACTGCCAAGACATCCAAGTATGTCTCTATATAGCATAGCATGTAGATGTCTGCATCAATTGATTCGTTCTTGGTCACACATCAGTCACATATCAGTCACGTGGTCCAACGTGGAACTCTGCTACTAAAAGCCCACGAGTTTGTTGCCATGAGTCTTGGAGCTCTTTGGCACTTCCACCGCTTTGCAAAGACCACTTGGGAGGCTCACATTCAAGCTAAGCGTGTCGGTCGCCATCGATCCGAAAGACTCGGTTTTGGATCTGGAAGACTGGGTGGCTTTTGGACGCAAGTCAAGTGTTGGACACTCCTGGTACCGTTTCCGTCATGGATGGATACTCTTGTGGACACTCAAGTCAGCTTGGCATGTTGCCGTTTGACAAATCCCAGCAGGTTCCTTCAGCTGGAGAGCTACAACTGCACAGCCAAACATAGCTACGGCGTCCAGAGTGCGAAGATCGACACATACAAACCCGCAAGGTGAAATGGGCACCTGTAGTCTGAGAAACCTTCCGACTTGTGGGACGGATCATGTCCACTTTTATCTTCCTCAAACATGTAAGTTGCATGAGAGCTCACAGGGCACAGTGTCCAGAAAGATTGCCGTCCAAATTCAACTCATACCTCGTGCAACTGCCCCCCTACAATGATCCAAAGGGGAGTTCACAGCGACATTCGTCATAATTCCAACTATGTTGCCTAGCATGAAATGTCGGTGGTGTTTCTGAACACCTGAAACTCCGACGGTCAGCATGAAAAAAAGGAGGTGTCCCTGTGAGTCTCTCCCTCTCCAACCTCCTTGTACTTCCTTCACTGGCACATCACAAGGTCTTCCTTATTGCCCAACTGCATCTGCCGTCCGCTTTCCCAAACATCCAGTGCCCCTCCGGCGAGATCACCAACCATCCGACGCCGGCCTTTCAGGTGCTCCGGTGCCACCACCTCCACCGCCAGCTTCAAGAAGAAGTCCAGGACCTCTGCCACTGCTGGTGGGATGGGTGTAAGTCCTTCAAAGGGATGTTAAGAACGCAACGCGGCGGCTTACAAACATCTTCCAAACACAGCGTGAGGATTTGGGAGGGGACTCGGAGGGGACAATAGGTGTGTCTGCCCAAAGAGGAATGACATCAAGGGCACCCTGCCAGGTAGCCACCAGGATTCAAGAACAACCCAAGGGCCCACACAGGTCGACATTGAAATTAGGTTTAATGGTCATCTCAAAGGAATCTCCCCCTACTGGGCCGAATCCACCTCCAACACCTTTTGGTGAGAGCAACCATCCGAAACCCTTGGAGTTTGACTACTGCTTTGTGGGACCGAGAGAGAGAGAGAGAGATAGAAAGAGAGAGATCGCACGCGAGCGCAGGGCCCTCTTGAAGAGACGACGCCGACACGCTAGAGCGAACGCGGACACCAACCGCAACCCACGAGCGAACGTTCCGGGCTCCGGCCGAGTCGTTCAAGCACTGCTCGTCGCCCAAGAGCTCAAGGTCCCGTGCCTCGTGGGTCATCGTACAATGAAACGGAAGTGTTGACCGCACAGACCTGCACTCTGGCACAGGGAAGACAGAGGACCCACATGGGGACTCTGAGTTTGGGCATGCGCACTTGGGTCCAAAGCGAAGACGTGGAGTCAGCAAAAACAGGAGTGCAAACTTGGACACCTAAGGCTTCCAAGGGCAAGGAGGGACCCTCCTGGAGGGCCTATCCTACTTATCCCTTTTGGCACTTCAATCCACTCTCGGCTTCAATCCACCTTCATGTTTGGCACAACGGCACAACGGCTGGGACGCCAGCAGTGAGGGAGATGCCTTCCAGATTCAAGATGACTGGATCCTCAGCACGAAGTGGGAATCCGAGCAAACCACTGAGAGTCCATCAACCGCTTGTGAGAGAAGAGTTCTCGGGCTCCAGAAGAACCCCACTGGTGAATTCTTTGAGCACTAAATGGATCATCCGTTGTAAAGTATGCCTAACCAACACAGTTCGCCGGTCCAATACTCCAACAAGCAGCCCCGACTATGAGCGACCACAAGACGCGAACCGATCTCTATACCTGAAGGTTCCAGCAAAAGGCATGGTTCTCCCAGTCACTTACTGCAAAAAAGGATCGTAGCTGCAGACAGACCGTCCAAACAATTGTTCCCAAGGTCGCTCAAAATAGATGGGTTCCCTACTGTTGATGAAGGAAATTCCTACTATCAAAAAAAACACTGAAAAAAAGAATGGAAAAACCAAGTTAGGATGGAAAAACAAAGTAAGAAAGGAAAACAAAGGCAAAGGCCGCATTGACAAGGTCCCCGTTTTATAAAGGGTCCCTATCAATCGGGCCTTTGCTTTCCTATGTTCCTGTCTTTTTGTGAAAAGTAGGCGATCCTCCATTCGTTGCGGCTATGCATTTCTTCCTGCAAACACCGTCGCGTTGCGGCGTATCTGGGTTTCCCAACAGGGTCAAGCTGCTGCGGCAGGGTGCCGGTCACCTCAGTCCCATCCAAAATGTTCATTCCAGTGCTCAAGTTCTTGAGTATGTTCCGGCTAAAAACCAAACAAGTCCCAGACATCCACCCCATGTTTGACAGGTGGGGTCAGGAGGTGAAATACGGCTTGACCGGATTCGATGGGAGTCCATGGTCCATGGTCCATGGTTCACATCCATCACCCCTGGCTCTGCGATAGATCTGTGGTTCCTCTGGGTCAAACCGCCTTTTCGGGAACCAAATCCATGTTCTGGAGGATGGTCGCAGGGACAGTCCGTACGCCAGCGGGGCGTGGGCACCACCTTTGCTCCTTGTTCTTTCACAACGACCCACGGCTCGACTCCCGAAGCTCCGAAGCTGAAGCACAACCTGGTTTCGCTCCTCTCAGGACGGCTTCACTCCTCTATCAAAAGCTGCGACCGACAGTTCCTGGGTATGGATAATTCCTATCCGACTTTTTCTCACATTCTCAAAGGACTCGGAATGACAATGCTGACCTTGGGCGGGGACGAACTCCGGGATCGGTCCTCAGGATCCGCACCACCACATGTGGCAGCCACCAGCGCAAGGTGGAAAGCACCGTGTGGAGCTGAGCCGGTGGAAAGCATGTGCCAAGCAGGCAGGCTTTGCTACCTGCGTTTTGTTCTTAATATGTCAAACACCATGGTGTTTGTCTGTCTCAACCGCCAGCTCTGCGTATGGACTCTCAGACAAGTCTAGGTGGCAGAGCAACAATCATTCTACGACCCCCCCCCCCAAATGCCAAAAAGTGTCTTCACACCATTGTACGCATGTACCTGATAAAGCCGTCTTGAAGAGGAGGACGAGGGTAATGATGATAGAATGGTAAATGGTGTACTGCAATAATGTATATAATGCCGGAAGGAAAATTAACCAAAAAGAACACGGAATGATGGATACTGGATATTGCACAAACGGCAGTGGTCTCCCAACCGCTATAGGTCTAAAGGATTCGTGAAAAGGATGAAGGCCTGTGACATCAGGGAAACTCCCAAGTCAGAGATTTGGTATTCTCAACTCAGAGGGCTCTCTGAGGACCTAGTCTCGCCTCCCAACTCCGGGGTTGAAGGAGAACTTGTCTTGCAGAAAGCTCAGAGCTCACAACAAGGCCATGCTTCCCACCCCTCTTTTGATCGAACAGTCCGCAGAGAGGACAAAGTGAAAATGAGAATTGCACGGTGGATCTCTGTCCAATTCGGAACCCATCTCAATAGGACTCTGTATCATATTCATAAGCCCATCCCAAAAACCAACAGAACTGCATTGGGGGACTGTGTTCTCCAACCTGGATTGGGAGGATGAAGCCACTTTAGTCCGTCAATTGCACCTGTATGGTGAAACACGAGGCCCTTACCACCCGCTCTCCCTTCTTCACCGCTTGGCCTCAGTCTCCTTGGCCACAAGGCCGAAGGTGTCCAGCCCCTCAGCCTGAAAAGAAGAACAAAATGGTCGGAAACCTGATCGGTCTGGTTCAACCTGATCGGTCTTTCAAAGGTTCAACGAAGAGGTTTTGCGGTTTTGAAGAGGTTTTGCAGAACAAACTCCCAAAAGGAAACTGCTACTGCTACACCAGATCAGTTCCACGAGGAAATCAAGAAGGCTTAAAGGCAAACATGACAGAACTCCGTTGACCACATCCTGGTCATGCAAACCAGCCTCCTGATCATTTCCCCGCTATTTCCGCAAAAAGCCACGTTCCGGGCGCGTCGAAGTCCTTGCCTCCGAGAAGGCCTGGGATCAGTGATTTCCCCACAGCGTAACAAATCAGCGATGTTGCTTCGGTTGCCATAAACACACCAGGTTCGGTAGCAAAAGGAAAAGAGTCAGTTGAAACCAAAAGCATTAGATACTCTGTTTCTCTACTAGGGGCTATAGGTCAAGTCTAGAATGGAGGTTGTTCTCCAATTTTCTGGGGCAATGGGGAGTCCTGTCGAGTCACCTGTCTCAAGATTGGAAAAGAATCCGCTTCTTGTTACTTGTAGTAATGGCCTCCACCCTAGTAGCTTCTTGTTTCTAGTAGCATGCAAAGTAGGAGATTTGTAGCCTAAGGATCACATACCAGAACACTGTTAGCTCCGTCGAGACCACAAACCAACAGCTTTGCCAGGTGGTCGGATTTCAACAAGAAACCGACCCAAACCGCCACCTGGTCCGCAGGGGGAGTGAACAAGTTGGTTAGAAGGGAGCTGCGTCACCAAGTAGGATGCACCCAAAGCAGCAGTGCAAAATACAGATCGTGTGTCCTGTTTTGTCTACCAACCTGGTCATCTACAGCGCATATAGGTTGAGCACTTCTCTGCTTTTCGCCACATGTCCTTGATCTAAAACCGGGAAGCCACCAATCTGTTGAACCTTTAGCCGGTGCACTGACAGGATGTTTGTCCAAAACCACAATGTGACCATGTGTGATTTTCCCACGCCTGCCATTCGATGGGATCTTGGAACTTCATGGTGATCCTCGGAAGTCTTGCATCGGATCAGGCTGGACCTATGTTGGGATATTCCAAAACCGGTTCCAATTGCACAAGGAAAAATACAAAAACAAAAACACGACCGTACTCCAAGTGGAGTGATATGTGGGATTAGATCTGTGGGAGGTAGATATGAGAGACCTCCCAGGTGCTCAGACAGTTGGAACACGAAACATCGTAGAGCTTGGCCGGGCGGCGCGCAAATGTACAAGACTGCCGACTGCCCTCTTGTCAAATGACGTATAGATCCAGCCACAGGTAAAACCACA